CATACGAATTCTTATTGGTTTTTGAAATTCTGCAGTAGACCCAGCAGTCAAAGAATGCCCATCCCCGACAAAACATCGCTTTTTGGAGCTTCCGTAACAAAAAACAGCGACGATCATTTCTTCAAACCTCGTTCTAAACAAGTATTTCTGTAAAAAAAATTCGCTTACCAAAACTTTGTCGACCACCAAATCCGGGAACACTCCTTTGCTTTGCAGATAGAGAAGCACATCATCAACATCCATTTCCCGGCTCAGGTCTATAAGACTTCTGTCCAGAAGTTGACGCCGCTCCGGCCGCATCATGTCGATGACAGACGGCTTCTACTGTGTCCTGCCTCTGCTTATAATGATAGACAATACTTCGCTCAAAGACAATTAAAAATTCGTGGAACTACAATGCACAATTGGTTCGCATTGAGAGGAAAAAAGAAAGCAGAGGAAGAGAAAGCAGTCTTTCAAAATAACTACGAGTAGGTAAATGGAAAAGCGAATAAATGATGAGCAGCGCTTAGAAATTGACATTGCTGACCAACAAGGGAACCTTTCATTTTTGAACCGATAAGCACATTACTATGCTTCACGAACAAGTAAATATAACACAATGGGGGAAGAGAAAATCCAAAAAACTACCAAGAACTACACGATGTTTTTTTTTTATTTTAACGAGAACTCAACCCTAAATTCTTTCACGGAACCATAAGTGTGGAGGTGAACTGAGAAGATAGAAAATATTTGAAAAAAGAACACTCAATAACACTAAAGCTTTCTGTGATTTTTGCGAGAAGGGGCTCCAAGAAGAATCGAAAAAAAGTGAGAGAACTTAGAAGTTTAGTTAGTATGAGTTCAAAAAAATTGGTAGGTAAGCGCATAGTACTTGGAAGCTACGATACTTTTGTCCGCTGAAACAACGGAATTCGTACTCAAGCCATAGCACGAATAGCTTGCTATAAAGCTCTACCGTGTGTCAATTAGAGAATGAATAACTCGAATGGCCGTATAATGGAGCTGGAGAGAACAAAGAGAGCGCATGCAAATTTCACGATGGTAAATGCTATGCACGAGATATGACCCGGGTACGATGGAGGTTGATGTCTGGCACTTGAAGCGGATATTGTAGCGACAGATACGCTTTCGGAAAGAACAAAAAGACAAAGGTAATTTTTATAGATGACATACGTGAAGAAAAAGAAAAGATAGTATATTGGTACTTGCATATATGTAGTCAAAACACATAAGGGATAAATTTGCGGAAACCCACACTATATTTTACATAGATTAGAATGAATGAAAGTCAAGCCAACTGCTTAGAGCAGGCAATGGGCTAAAGTCAAGTGTAATTTGGCAGTAACGAGGTAAATTTTTCTTTCAGAGCTGAAGATCTAAGTGCAAAAAAATCAGAGATAATTCTAAGAGATTTAGTTTAACACAATCATATGTTACACAAGCAAAGGCATTGACACACTCAGTTTATACAATATTATACGGGGATAATGGCGCATGCACCAATCGCCGGCTGGATGCGACGGTAGGAACAATGGCGAGCACTCGGCATCAATTAAAGAGCAGATGTACATCGCTACCGTGTAC